ACCGCGAACTGCTGCCTTGCATTTTACATGTTCCTGCACGGAGAGAAATACTTAGCTGCATTAGGATCGTGTATTTACTTGCCATAAGTAATTCTGAGCATGTTCAAATCAAACCATATGGTTTTCTCAGATAGATTGCACACTTTTAGGCACTTCGCAGCGCGTAGCTACATCCTGGCGCTTTGAACAATATTTTTATAGTAAGCAATTAGGATTTTTGCCTGTGTACATACAATGATTATCTGCTTCCGAAGCGTCTCAATGCTGGGCAAAAATAGTGCGCCGTGTCCGACGGTGTTTACTTTGGCAGCACTTGAAAACAAAAATCGAAAACCGAATCAGCATATAAGTCGGCAGGCGAATCCCAAAAGTCGGGACCACCCGCGCAGCCGTCGAGAAATGTTTCGAAATTAATTACAATTAAAAGTTTGGGGCCCGTTTGCCGGAAAGCGGGCGCACCTTGGCCAATAAAATGAAAATTTATGGGTCACACATGAGCGGCGGCCCGAGGAAAATGTGTGCCTCCGTTTTCCAGCCATATTAATTGGCCCCGGCTTATCCAGTTTCCAGAAGCCACGGCAGTGGTCGCCTCTTAAAGGCTTAGGGAAAATTTGTCTTGCCTTGGCAGGACCGCAAGCCAAGGCGTCTGCACTGAGAGAAAAGGGTGGAAGTAGGAAGATACGAGATACTGTGCAGTAACTTTGAAGTAACTTTGAGGAACTACATAGAACTACTGCTTTGTTGTGGCCCATGTTCAACGAGCTTTTGCTGGCTCCTTCCAGAGGTGGCCCCCATTTTTGACAGTGCACAAGGCGTGCCCTTGCTAGAAAGGGATGAGGCAAGTGGCTGAGTGGGTTAAGGAGCACTCTCACCTCCGGCCCATCTCGCCAAGGGATTCAATTTGAGTCTGAGGGCCTGCCACATGTGTGTCGGACTTGATGGCCCAGATAAAATGGCCATTCTTTTGAGTGAGATTGTAGCCAATTTCGGCTGCTGCCTGCCGCCTGCCGCCTGTAGGTGAAGTGATAAGGTTGCCACAGGAGCTGGGGCAACAGGAACTGAAACCAGGAGCACACATGCTGGGAACCACATAATAATTCTTGGGAACAATGTAAGCGTCAATTGTGCATGGCCAATGTACGCCGGAGTATGTGGGTAGTTTCTTTGGTCCCGGCTCCTCCGAGACTATGCCCTTTTGCCCACATTTGTGCAGAATCCAGAACTCAGACGGAAACTGGGAATGAGAATCAGACTCAGACTCAGGCACAGACTCAGACATCAGGGGACAAAGACGACAACGTCGGCACATGCCACACGTCAAGTCAAGAAATTTAAATTAAAAACCTTTTTTGCATGAAATGTTTTTGTTTGCCTGCAAGCATGATGCATATGTTTCCACCAATTCAGGGGTTTCGTTGGGAAATGGACTGGGCTAAGAGTATTACATTGTAGGTACAAGATTTGGGAAAAGTTGGACACTGCTGTCTAAGTGACAAATTATTGCAGGGTAGTAGTGTCGGATATTAATTAAAGAGTTTGAAGCGGATACAGATTCTGCAAACAGTGAAGCGTTTTCCCAGAATCAATCCCAGATTTCCCAGAATAAGTAGGGGAAACCCTACTTACTTTGCGATCCAGGAAACTGAGTCTGCTGCTTGGCATGCGCGCCAATCATCTGGTTTAGAAAGAACCATGCTCTAACTTTATCTCCTTGAAGTGAATCATAGTATCAGAAGTGAGTTTCTTGAAACGGAAGACGGTTACTCAGCGGAGGAAGAGCCTAACCCCAAGTTCACCATGATTGCGATCAATTAGACATCAGTAGATAGTGAGCTCATTCGGCTCATTTCCTCTGTGTGCAATTCTTCGAGTGTGATTAGTACACTTTTATCAGCTCGAAAGAACGAGCCACTCGTTATTTACAGAGCCAGGGCTTTGTGCCTATAAAAGTAAATCAGTTTGAACTCGCTGCGTTCTTGTATTTTTCTCACACATATGCTGCGAGTGGCAATTAATTTGTGTGCTTAATTCGCCTAATTATTCCAGGCAATAAAATTTTCAATACACTCAGATGCTGATGCTGATGCTGATGATGCTGATGATGATTGTGAGGCTCCCTTTGTCCACACCTAGAAGGGAAAATGGAGCTTCGCGAGGCGAAGGACACGTTTAATTCAATTCGCGAAGGTTCCTTGACTCGACTGACTCGACTTTTTTATTTTATTTATATTTCTTTCCCTTGGCTTAGGGGGAATAAAAAGGCGAGTAAAAAAAGAAGAGCCACATTTAAATTCAAATCGCTGAGAACGCTGACAAAGAAGCGGCGCCACACGTCGGATTAATTTTATGTGCCCCAAGGAGAAGCGTCGCCAGGACATCTTCGTCCTCGCTTCAATTAGATGGAAGTGGGAGCGGAATGGCAGGACCTCGCCGAGTCCTTTGGCATTTGCCATTGCCATTGGCTGGCTGCAATTGTTAAAATCGAATTAAGCCACGGTGTCGCATACTTTTGATCTCCCCCGTCAGCCAATGAAATGTTGCACTGCTCCACGAAATGTCCTTACATTGTCCTTGCGAAGCAAATGGAGGTATTTCCACCCGCCACTCCCCCGTGGACTATTTCAATTTCGGTTTGCTGGCGCAAATGAAATTAAACGAAGATTAGTCGTGTGCTCGCCAGATTATTCCAAGAAATAAAAATCCAACAGATACACAGATACATAAGCGCACCCAGTGATATAGTCGGCGCTCATTATTTTTTCGTTTTGGTGGCGGCTTTTGCTCGGCGGCGCTTGTTTTTATTTGTATTTTCCATTCGCTCGCTTTTTATGGCCCCTTGAGGTGATTTGCTCAAGTTCGCCAGTTCGCCAGTTCGCCGGCCCCATTTCGAGGAAAATCTCAGGGGTATAGGGGATTACTTGAGGGAGAGTAGGAGGGTCTTCACATTAGTGGAGCTGAAATCTGGCCAAATCACAAGCTACATTTAACCCGCAAATGATGGCCGGCTTTGGAATCAGCTGCAATTTATGAAAGAGTCTCGGTAAATCTGGTTAATGAAAGCAAATTAGACGGAGTCTTGGTGAAATAGGCAATCGGTTACTTGAATAATTCCATTCAGTTATCTATCCAAAGCCATATATACAACTTTAAGTTTTAAGTTTCCCCTTTTTGTCGCACTCAGATAACATACCCCATCCAATTCCACGCTCGTGTGTTCAATTAAAAAATGGTCACCATTAATTGCTAGCCACTTTGCAGTCCGGTCACTTCCTTGCTGCCGTCTCAAGTGCTCGGCACTGGACTTTCCCGCTTTTCCCGCTTTTCCCGCTTTTCCTGCTGCCACTTTGATGAGCAGCAGTCCATGTTGACATTTTTTGCATATTAATTGAAGACAAGGCCTCGTCTTTCAGCGCCCTTTTCCCCTGGCCAGTAACCTCGTCCACCCTTGGCTTAATTTGCGGTAAGTTCATTAAGTAATAAAACATAAATTTGAGTTTTTTGTTCTCAACACCCCGTCGTCATCAAGTTCTTGATACTTTTTCCATTTTTTCTCTGCTTTTTTTTGTTTATTTTTATTTTTTTTGTAATGCTTTGCATATTTCTTTAATGAATTAATTCTGTTTTGGTTTCGCTTTGGGTTTCGGTTCTGTTGATTCACCGTTCACTGGACTTTGATAAAAAAAAAAAAAAAAAAAAGGCGCAAAGTCGCCGCGGAAGTATATAAATGAGCCACATTCGCCAGGGGAAAGGGGGTAGAATATTTTGTATAATTTATGCGAAAAACATTAGGGAAAACGAAGGAACGCGTTCGTCGAGTGTTAATTATGCTCTGGCTGCAAAACTTTGCTATCAATTTTTGAGAATACAAATTTGAGAGCGCAAAAACATGTTTTGCATATGAAAACGGAGATATGGAAATTGGGGAAAACAGGGAAAATGTTGCGCTTTGCCAGTCGTTTTCCTCGGCGGCTAATTGCATACTCCTGGGAATTCCCCTATAAAAGTTGAAGAATCGCGCGCATCGCATTGCAATTGCTGCGGAACACACTCGCAAAAATTACTATTGACTTGTCGAACTGTATCAAAATTGATCAATTGGTCGTACAAAAAGGGCTCCAACTTTTTTTTGCATTTCAGCACTTAACTTTTTTATTTCAGCATTTTACCTGAGTTTGCCTCGCCCATTTCTCGCAGTGTTTTCGGGGAAAGGGCTGGCTGGGGGTGTCAGGTTGTCAACCGCCTCGCCTGTTGTTTGTTGTCCCCCATTGTTGACATGCATTCCCGCAAATGAGCCGTGCAATTGTCGAGCTGCCTCCTATTGACAGCTCCCAGTTCGATAGTCGAAGTGCATCCTTGGACCCGCGGGATTTGTCTCGAGTTTCAGTGCTCTCCTGCATTTCCATCTCCGGCTTCCCTGACTGACAACTGTCGGTTTTCCATCTCGGGGCACCGACACTGAAAAGTGTGACGATTTATTTGTCATGTGGCGCGGGGTGCCGAAATCAATTGGTTTTGTGCCCGGCAGATGCCTTAGATCTGCGACACGGGCATTGACAACTTCAACTGGACCCCATTTGTCTCGGATTCGACTGCCTTAGTCGCTGGTCTCAAATTCCAGGCTGACTAGTGCTTGTCAGCGTTGCTAAATGAGTTTCCATAATGGTCTAGTTGCCTATTCTAAAACAATTAATTATACTCTATATTCCCCGACATTTGCTGCCTGGTGATAACACTTAGTTCCCTGCTGTTGATAAGCGCTATTTTGGTACTCACCATTTTGAAATCTGTATTTGCTCTGTACCCTAACTATTGGGCTTATTCTGCCATTAATTAACTTGAAATTTGCTTATCCTAACCTTCTTGATTGCTTTATAAAAAGTTAAATGTAAAAACATTTTAGTAGGCATTTCCCTTGCATAGTCCATTTGGAATATTTCCAAATATTCACGAAGCATTGGCATGCTCCGTTTTCTAGGGTATGGCTGTCTATCACCACAATCCAATCGACTCTAGCTGCTGCGTGCATTCCAAGTCCGACTTTCGATTCACCATGTTGCGTTTGAGCTCGCTCCTGACTATCGCCTTTGCGGTGGCGTTGTCATCCGTATCCGTCCTCTCAGAGATAGTCAACTTTCAGACGTGCGACGATAGTGTGGACACCTGCTCGATCAATCAGGTGCGGGTGACGCCCTGTCCGGAGGCCAATGCCAATGCCGCATGCCGCATCCGCCGGAGGCACAGCTTCACGATGAGCTTCGACTTCACGCCCCACTTCGATGCCGATACCCTGAAGGCCAGCTTGGGTTGGGCCAAGAGCGACAACGTGGAGCTGCCCCTACTCTCCATGGACCGGGAGGCCTGCAAGTACACCACCTGCCCCGTGAGGTCCGGAGTCACCCAGACGTACACCAACACCATGCTCGCCGATGCCAGGTTCCCGCTGAGTCCCTACACGATCCGTTGGGCTCTGAAGGATCCGGTTTCGCAGAAACGCTGCTGCTTCACCATCGACATCAAGGTGGTGCGCTAGGAAGGTGCTCTGTATTGGGTGCTCCACTAAATAGCTGGACTGCATTTAAACGATTTACGATATTAAAGTGTTTTAGAAGTGGCCGATACACAAATTAGTTTGCTTGGCGGTCCTCTATGGGCTTGAATTTCTTGCTGGCTAGTGTAATAAGCAGCACCGGCTCCTTGTCTGTAAGGCATCCGCGGTATACCCATTACTTGGACTCATTTCACCTTGAATGTGTCAGGCCGATGAGACTGAACAGGGGAATGCTGCTGATAAGAGTTTAGATTCTGATATGACTAATTAGTTAGGGTATTCCAAGGGTAACATACTTTAGTAGTGTTGAACGAATTTCTTTTACTTGAAAATTTCGAATATAAATACTCGAATTACTAAACTGTTGAAACAGCCATATTTTTTTTTTAATAATCCCCAAAACGGGGATTACGTATTTGATCAGAATTTTATAAAGATTTCAAATGCCGTACAGCTCTAAGTACATTCCGATAAGGCGCTCGAATCTAATCAGCTGATGCACGCTTGTGGCCGCAGATGTGACCCAGTTCACGGGGTCAAACGGGTACGGAGATAAGCCCGGCTTTGATTCGAAGTCCGTAGTAGAAGTGCCTGCATTCCGTGTCTGGTTTTCGATCCATCATGTTGCGTCTTCGCTCGCCGCAGGCTGTCGCCTTCGCCTTCGCCATCGTCCTAATCTCGGCATCCGCTTCCGCCGAGGTGGTCAACTTCGAGCCCTGTGCGGACAGTGTGGACACCTGTACGATCCAGCAGGTGAGGGTTTCGCCCTGCCCCGAGGCCAATGCCAATGCCGCATGCCACATCCGGCGCAAGCGCAACAGCGAGATGAGCTTCGACTTCACGCCCAACTTCGATGCCGACACCCTGAAGGCCAGCTTGGGTTGGGCCAAGAGCGAGAACGTGGAGCTGCCCCTCGTCACCTTGGACCGGGAGGCCTGCAAGTACACCACCTGCCCCGTGAGATCCGGAGTCACCCAGACGTACACCACCCTGGTGCCCATCGAATCCAAGTTCCCCCTGAGTCCCTACACCATCCGTTGGGCCCTGAAGGACCCCGTCTCCCAGAAGCGCTGCTGCTTCACCATCGACATCAAGGTGGTGCGCTGATCGATTTGAGTTTGGCATAACTCGCTGCAGTTGTGCCATCGCATGTGCACTGAATTGAATGGTGAAATGAACCCTTTCTCCCAAATACAGTAAATTATCGTGACGTTTAAATGCTGCACTAGTTTCGCTACTTTCTTGAAATAAACATTTCTTATTTGGTATATTTGATAGTCGCTGCTCCCCTGACTGTTGTGAATATATTTATTTTCCGCTAACGATTTGGTGCGTTCTTTAATTATTTGTGAGCCGTATTACGGCCCACTGGGGAAAACCTCAGGGAATATAGATATTTACTCCAATAATCATCAACCTGCTGGCGACTAATTTGAAGCCCCCGGACCCCTCGGGCAGAAGGAAAATGTATAAAACTTTGATTGAACTTTTGGGTGCCATTAAAAAGCCTCCCCGCCCTCGGCATCTTTCCTCCACGGGTCTTATCAGCGTCGTCAAACAATTAAAAATTGAGCACTTAAGTTGTGGTCATAAAATCATTTGTTTTTCCCTTATTTTCCTCTCATTTTTTCCTGCGTTTTATTGTTTTTCTGTTCACATTTTTCAGTGGTGGAAATTCAAATAGAAAATCACTTTTTGCTACTCAGCGTTTTCATAGGGGAGTACGGTGCCTCGCTTTGCTGGGGATTTGCATACCAGGTTTTGGATAAAATAGTGCAACTCCTACTGTATTCACTGCTAAATGTTCCTAATGGGTATCCTTTAGTCCGCAAATCACAGCCCACAGCTTACTGTTTACCTAAACGAAAACGAATCGGTATGAAGTCTGATAGGCCTGACCCCAAGAAACCCAAAAAAGCAAGGCAATAATAACACAAACAACGACAGACACTTGAGCAAATAATAATAACAACGAGAGTAATCACAGAAGGGACTTCAAGAACACATTGTTACTCAATTTGGATGCAGAGCGGCATCAATTTGGAATCAAATTCAGATTTTGGCATTCGCCTCGCCGTATTTTTTACTCAGCACATAGGGAGTTTTCGTCAGTTCCGAGATGATCTCGCATTTGACTTGCTCGAAACAAGGTGACGCATCCACATAGACTACTTCCCTCCGCTGGCTTAGGTAGGTATTTAGAGCAGGTTCGCTTTTCCGGAACTGGGCCATCTGACGGTCCAGAAAACTGATGTGGGCTTGAGGTCCTGGCGAGTAGCTATTGAGCAGGATTCTCATGCGAGCCATACGCTCGTCGACTTGCAGGAAGACAAATCGATTCGGGGGCACAGTGAAGCCCTCGAAGAGCTCCTCAGCCTCGCACTTATTGTTGGGGTAATTGATCAGCATCCAACCCCTGTGAAGGGCGTCCTCCTGGAGGAGTCTGTTCTGGATGAGATTCCCCACAGCCTGCGACCGTCTGTAGACACAATCCTTTTCAATGGCTTCCTGCAGCAGTCTGGAGTGCTCATCCTGGTCTTGTTTGTTGATGCTGTGATAGGCCAGGACATCGGCATCCAGTACCAGCAGGTTCCAGCGCTGAGCTAGCACATGTGCCAAGGACCTTCGCCCTGATCCTGGCCTGCCGTGCAGCACTATTCGGTGGTAGAAGTTCCTGGGCAGCTGGTAGAAATCGCCCCTTACTCCCCGATGGAAGGCGTCCATCGATTTGGTGTATATCTCCACGCCGATCCTGGTTATATTTTCGCCCATCCATCGTCGCACATCCGTCACTCCATCCGCCACGGAAATCTCGGCCAGCAGACGACTCATCACCTCCATCAGCTTGTGCTTTTCCATGTAGTACATAAGTGCGGCACTGTACTCCACCAGCATGGATCGATCGAAATTGGTGGGCGAGGACATGTCGCTAACTGGGCTTTGGGTGCGTTATTTGGATGTGTTTTTTAATAAATTTTTGCAACTTTATGTAAGGTAATTCAAAAGTGAACACAATATGTGTGAGTGCGCTTACTTCGTTACGGAAAGATTTCATTTATTTTGGTTTGTTTATTACCGAAACTAATGGGCGACGCTTTGAAAGCGTTGTAACCCTGGTATTTGTACAGGATTGGAAGGATAAATATCCTGTATCTTCGGCACTTGCAACTCATAACGAGAGCTTGATGAAGTGCATTACCATTACGACGGCTGTGGCTGGGATTTCTCGCATTGTTACGATCGTATTAATTGCTTCCGGTACAATATTAGAAAATGGCGCGCACTTCCGGGCAGCTGAAGTGGATTTGGGGCCCATTATACGGAGCCCGTATAATGGCCAAGTAATGCCTTGCCAGCAAACGGAGCCAAGAAGTGCCAGGCCAAGGCAAATTGGCCCCATATGAGAGTGCATCTGGTTGGGTGATAATATTTTGCAGCGAATTATGACAGCTGCTTTGTCTTTTGCCGGGTAAATAGGACGCCACTCCCCCGAGCAGTGGCATTAACAATTTAAAAAGCCGGGGCTGCTAACGGTCTGCAAAGTGTTGCCAAAATGTCTGTCATACTTTATGTTGTCTTATGAGCTGCCCGGCATGTCCTGGCCGAAGCCAAGAATCCTTATAAGGATGCCATGCCATGGATGCTTCTTGGTGGGCGGCTGTGAGTGCGTGTGGCTTGGGTGGGCTAATAAAAACTAGTAAACGATGAGAAATTGCTTCCTGTTGGCGATGCTGCTGCCTTCGCAGGACACTCTCCATATTGTTATGTCAAATATGCTGTTAATATCTTGCACACACTAATATCGCATCCTTTGCTCTTCGGTTTATCTTGGGCCAACTCAGCCAGCTGGACAGGAGAAAAGCTGTCCAGAGCCACGCCCTCAAAGTGCATTCGGGAGCGGGTTTTAATTACATAAATAAAAAACGAAAAGCCAAAATCAAAATATGAATTCGAATGTGCACTGCTTTCGGCTGTTGCGCTGCCACAAAGAGCGAAACTTTTTAATTAAACTCAAAGCAAAAGCAAAAGCAAAAGCGACAGCGATAACAGCGCGACAGCCCCCCATTTCACTGCTCCAAATTACATTTCGTCATTATAGCCAGCGTGCCACACACCCACATTATTCGTATTATACATATGTGGATGCATATTGCCCCCGATGCGGGGCATCCTCCACTCTCCACTCTGTTTTAATCGCCAAATTTGTGGCACAAACCGCCGCCGTTTGACGCATTTCGCAGATATCACTGAAGAACTCGCGCTACTCCGAGACAAGATGGCGCCCTAGAATGACTGCAAAATGCATATCCGAATGCAAAATGCTCTTACTGTTAGTTTGGAAGTAATAGAAAATATGTACTTGTCAGATATTTGAAGATTTTTATGCTATCATATGAATTCGATATCTAAACTCTGTCAATTTAATCGGCGTTCATACTGCAAGCATGTAAAGTGTTATTACTGATTGCCACGATGTGAAGAGCATTTATTTTAGATTTTTACAATATTAAACAAGCTCAACAAGCTAAAACAGAATGCCAGAATAAATCGCAGATACTGAGTAATGTGAGACAGGCACACGCGAAAATCAAAGAGCCGGGGTTGTGAGGGGTCATCTTTGAAGAAATTCTATGGAAGAGCCGATCAACCTCATTATCCCAGTGCCAACCGTTAAAAACCGAGTCGCAATTCGAAGTGATAAGAAAAGTGACTTTCCGTGCTTGGCACGGCTGTCGAATAGGAGAAACCCCGTGGCACTCGTGCACTCAGAAAAAAAGGCTACCGGAAATAAGATGTGATGTTTGGTGGGCAAAAAAAGGCAATGTTGATAGGGTTGTTAGTGGGCAATGCGGAAATAACTCGAAACGTGTGTCTCCAAGAATGTGGAGTAAAATGCGAACACAGTTTGTAGAAGCTGTGATGTCCATGCTTGTGGCCCTAAATAACTTGCCGAAGTAAAATCACTTCAGAGTTACAAATTGTTCTGCAAGTGTGATGCATTTCTAGCTAAAGATTGCCAGCGCCTTTCAAGTCTGCCGACCGCCGAGCGCCGAGCGCTTAAGTTAATCGTAGTTTCGCTGCATCGCCGAGGCGATTGATGCACTGGTCTTATCGGGTCCGTCGGCCCACGGACCTTATCGACTTCCTTCGAGGGCCCTGCTCCGAAAGGCCGGAAGTAATGAAGTAGTGCCGTGTGGGCTTATCAATTTCACAATTGCACAGGGCTTTATCTGCAGCCAGCATAAAAAAGCCCGCTAAATGCGAGGCAGTTTCACTGATTTTCAACCTTTTTTCTCCAACCACAAAACCCTCAGCACTCAACGCCCAACAATTAAAAATCATTTTTCGTCTGCCGTTCACACAATTGCTAGTCAACTTTCCATGTTCCCCAGAGGACACGAGTCCATGGCAAAGAAAAATAAAAAACAAAAACTGGCAAACAAAGCCACACATCAACAGGCCGAAAGATGGGAGTCGGGGTTTTTGGTCCTGGTCCACTTTGTCAAGCCGACAATTTGCTGCCAATATTTTGCCAGTTTTTTCTGGTGCGGTGCGAATTACTCCGCTGGTTTGGCTTCAATTATGCAGCAATTGAAAAATTACTACGTGTACAACAATTTCGGTTTCAGTTCATTTTTTCGCACCTCGCGGTGGGGGAAAAGGGTTGAGTTTTTAGGCCGGCAGACAACAGGTTTTAAATTTGTCACCGCAACGACAAACATGACAAACGCCAAATGAAGCGCAAATTTAATTACGCAATTTTATTGGATTAACAGGCGCAAACCTGAAATGCGGATAAATACAAATTTAAATATGCCGCACACATGTGCCTCGGCTTCGGCTGCGGCCCCGCCCATTCCCTGGTTTTTTGGTCCACCCCATTCGAGCCCGGTTGGCCCGGTCAAAAGCCGTCTAGTCGCGTAGGTGAGTCGTAAATTTACGCGCCATTGTTGGCAGATTTGGCCCAACTTCCCAACTTCCCATTTCCCTAATTCCTTAACCCCTTGATGCCGCTGTTGTGTTGACGCCAATGTTGGCCTGCTCCACCTCCCCCGCCCACGTGTGTGCTATCTTCCTTTTTTGGCCTTTTCACTTATGCAAACGGAACATTTGAAAAATATGTTGGCAGGATAAACAGCAGGGCCACAAAGTGCAGCTGATGCCCCCAGACGAACTGGCCTCTCCAGACTGCTTTCTGCCGCCCTGACGTTTTAATGAGCATGCAACGCTGCAACGCTGCAACGTGCCCCTTTCTCCAGCATTTTCCACAGAGAAAACAAATTCGATGCAAATTCGAAACTGAAAGCAAAGGTGTGCAACACAAACGAAAGTCTGTGCTCGAAAGTTAGTTAACATCTGCGTTGCAAGTAAACTGTCAAGTATCAATTCGTTTCTCTCAGTGCGCCACCCCATTTTTCACACCCACTTTCTGCCACAGCCAGCATCCTTGTTAAATTCATTAGTAAAACGTTGCACCTTCAGCGCAATTTCCAGGCAGAGATAGAGGGTCCGGAGCACACGTCTGTTTGGCCTGATGTTGCCACACAGTACACACGAAATTAAAACCTACCCCCCCGCCTTTTGCCACCGGAGTATCAGCCACAACAACAGCAACATCCCCACCATGAACGAACAGACAACATGACATGATACCGATACTAAACTGACACTTTGACATGGACTTAACCCTAAAAACGCTTTGTTGGCTTTATTGGTGTCGGTTGCCCAGCTCTCTGGCCTCCCCCTCTCTTGTACAAATTTGGGGGCTAATGTGTGTGTGTGTGTGTGGAGAGGGGGGAGGGGGGCTCCAGCGAGGTATCAAGGTATCCACTTGATTTTTGCACTAATTTACGTGGATTAAGCGCTCGACGTGACTGTGTGACCTGGGTATTAAGCTTAAATACCTTTTAATTGACAATTTGTGTTTGGCCATTTGATGCCTGATTTTGTTTATTTATTGTGTGTGTGGGCTGGCTCATTAAATGTATTTAAGCCGGAACAGTGAAGAGAACCCCAATTAATCTACTGGGTATAACATACATAATTCACGTGCTATATGTACGTATTTTATTCAAGTTTTTTTTTGTGGAAGTCCGGACAACCTTTGATTAAACTTACCCACTCAGCTCGCTTCTCTATCCAATTAACCTTTGGCCAGAATTCTTTTCCAATTCTTTGGATTAGTTTCCATCGAAAAAAGCGTACTTCAGCTGCAGGTGAAGCCTGTCCCCTCATTTGTATGCCACTAAACTGTGTGGAGAAACTTTATCCGGACATTAAGAATTGCGCGAAATCAAATGCCCCCTTCCTCGACCAGAAGTTCGATCCATCAGATGCAAGTTGTTCTGTGAGAAGCTGAAAAGTCTCGCCACACAAGCGAAAAGTTGCACAAAAAATTGTTTAAATCAGGTCTTTTTTTTGTATTTTTTTTTTTTTTTTTGCTACGGTTTATCGCAGTGGGGGCGTGGTCAGTCAGCCGCTTAAGCCGCCGCACGGTGCAGCATCGTCTAATTGAACCCAACAGATATTTTCAATTAGCAGCAAAACATTTGTGCGCTAAAAAAGTTTTATTTAATTTTTTCTCCGCCGGTTTTTCCTCGCCGGCACCTTGAGCTCAAGGACTTGGGTGTGGAAAACTGGGAGGTGAATTCCTGCGGGGCAAACACGTCCTGGCGCCAATAAAAAAAGGCACCTTAGTGCTGAGAACTTTGGCCAGCGGCGGACAAACTTTTTAATGCCATTAAAGGAAGAAAAAACGGCGCTACAAGACGTGAAAACTTTGCCACCGCCTAAAAGGTAAGAAGGAGAAAATAGCCAACCAGACTGCACAGGAAAAATACGTTATCATACATACAAAAGGAAATATAAAAAGAACCCTGGACTCGTAAACATAACGTAATCCTCCGACTAGCTCTTAAAGTTAAGTATTTATACCTAATTTGATACTAATATTTGAATGCCGAATGCAAGCGCAATGAACAACGATGATCTTATTGTTCGCATAAAATGTTCGTAACATTTTTG